ATATTTAAACAAATATGTTGGAAAGCCTTTGTAATAGTTTCTGATTAAATACAAAGATGATGATGGAATTTTTCAGTAAAATTTGATGTATTTATAATATTTAAATGAGGTCTAGATTGGAACTTAATTTTTTACTACCTTGAAAATAGATTTTGATAAACAAATTCATATTATTCACAGGTCATGAAGATCTGTGTTTTAACTTCTGAATCAAACTATTTCTGTAACTTAAAAAGTATTCTTTTAAATAATGATCTTACTGTCATAATGGCAATGTGTACTTATGTCATACAGACAGTTACTAGCCTGACAGTCAAGAAAGTGCCTATACTAGGATGTCTACTTTCTGAAATGCTCGGAGTATGCTATACTGTCATCATTCTATTTGCCTTCACTCCACCCCATCACTTGACACCTCTCAGTCTTGCTGCTGTCATCTTCAAGAGGGAGATCGAAGAGATGTTTCTTATAACTTTAGAATTAATTTTGATTTCTTTTGTTAATGTATTTGGAGATAATTTTAGGAGAAAAATTTCAGCTTTTTAAAAACATTTCAATATGTATGGCCTACATTTCCTTGCATCAGAATAACCTAGGGTATTGTAAATATCTGTCTTAGAAACATATTCATATTTATATATGCTAAATTGGGAAACATTATTCTTTATAATAACTGCTGGCTTTTCAAGAGGAATACTTCTATAATGTCATGAGATAATTTAAAAGTGCTGGTTCCTCTCTCTCCGCATCCATGCCAGCATTTGTTATTTGGAGACTTTTTGATAAAGGCCATTCTCACTGGAGTTAAGTGATATCTCATTGTAGTTTTGATTTGCATTTCCCTGATGATTAGAGATGATGAGCATTTTTTCATATGTTTGTTGGCCATTCTTCTGTCTTCTTTAGAAAAGTTTCTGTTCAAGTCCTTTGCCCACTTTTTAATAGGGTTATTTGATTTTCTTTCTGATTTTCGTGAGTTCTAAGTATATTCTAGTTATCAGTCCCTTATCGGATGCATAGGATGCAAAAATTTTCTCCCATTCTGTAGGTTGTCTGTTTACTTTCATGACTATTTCTTTGGCTGTGCAGAAGCTTTGTAGTTTGATCATGTCCCATTTATTTATTTTTGTTGCTGCTGTGATTGCCTTTGGGGACTTCTTCATAAACCCTTTGCCTAGGCCGATGTCTAGGAGAGTGTTTCCAACTTTTCCTCTAGAATTCTAATAGTTTCATACCTTAGGTTTAAGTCTGTTATCCAGCATGAGTTGATTTTTGTGAGAGGTGAAAGGTATGGGTCCTGTTTTAGCCTTCTACAGGTGGCTATCCTGTTTCCCAGAACCATTTATTGAAAAGGAATTCTTTTCCCCAGCGTATGTTTTTGTCTGCTTTGTGAAGATTAGATGGCTATATGAGGATGGTTTATATCAGGATTCTCAATCTGTTCCACTGGTCATATTCCTATTTTTGTGCCAATACCATATTGATTTAATTACTACAGCTTTGTAGTATAGTTTGATATCTGACAAATTAATGCCTCCCATTTTGTTTTTGTTGCCTAGAATTGCTCTTGATATTCGGGGTCTTCTTTGGTTCCATACGAAGCGTAAAATTATTTTTTGTATATCTGTGAAGAATGCTGATGGGATTTTAATAGGTATTGCATTGAATCTGTAGATCAGTTTGGGTAGTATAGACATTTTGATGATGTTGAGTCTGCCAATCCACGAGCATGGTATGGATTTCCATCTGTTTACATCCTCTGACACTCCTACACTGCTGGTGGGACTGCAAACTAGTTCAACCTCTGTGGAAAGCAATATGGAGATACCTTAAAGTGATACGAGTGAATCTACCATTTGATCCAGCAGTCCCATTGCTGGGCATCTACCCAAATGATCCAATGACACTCTACAAAAAAGTCACCTGCACTCGAATGTTTATAGCAGCACAATTCATAATTGCAAGGCTGTGGAAACAGCCCAAGTGCCCATCAATCCAAAAATGGATTAATAAAATGTGGTATATGTATACCATGGAGTACTATTCAGCTCTAAGAAACAATGGTGACATAGCACATCTTATCTTTTCCTGGTTAGAGCTGGAACCCATACTATTAAGTGAAGTTTCCCAAGAATGGAAAAACAAGCACCACATATACTCACCAGCACATTGGTATTAACTGAACAGCACCTAAGTGGTCACATAGGTACTACAGTAATAGGGTATTGGGCAGGTGGGAGGGGGGGCGGGTATATACATATATAATGAGTGAGATGTGCACCATCTGGGGGATGGTCATGCTGGAGACTCAGACTTGTGGGGGGAGGGGGGGAAATAGGCATTTATTGAAACCTTAAAATCTGTACCCCCATAATATGCCGAAATAAAAAAAAAAAAAGAAGTGCTGGTTCCTCAATATTTAAACCATAGTTAATCTAAAATTAGTTAACATATTAAATCCAATTTGACAGTTGGCAAACGTTTTACTACACCCTACAAATTCAGGACTGTGAAACATACTTTAATGGTCATCTTGTAGGCAGCTACTCATCTCAACCTAATAAATGGCTATTTATATATTGAGTAAATACCTCTAGTGAGGGGAAAGTCAGTCTATTGAGGTGGAGCATTTCACATTCAGAGATCTTTGGTAGAACATTTCTAAGTCAAAATATGTATACTTTTGTTATGCAATCACTGATCTTCATCTTGTTTCATAGATCTGCTAACATTTAGTCTGATTTTTTTAGTCTGATTTTCTTTCTCTATGATAGATTTTCAGCTCTTAGGAAACTCCATTTGCCTACTTTTGAGAGATACTCCTTTTCCATGCTAAATAGCCCCTCGCTGTGACTTTATTCTCTCCTTGTTTCTCTTTAAATTAATGAATGCTTCATTCATTTTATTAAGAATATGTTACTTAGAACAAATCTAAGTTTCCTCCTTTGTTAAATGACAAAAACAACTCCTAATCCCCATTAAAAAAACAAAACAAAACACTAGACTCTCACCTCCCTAATTCAATATAGATACTACTCTAGTGAAAACACTCTGGATTTGTATTTCTCACCTAAGCAGCCCATTAGTTTTTTGTAAGTATTGTATGCTTATTTTCAATTTAAACCCCTAGCTCCTTGTCTCATTTACTACTAAATTCAACTCCTCAATTTTATTTTGAGCAATTTTGTTTTAAATACAAATTGTCAAGAGTGTTTTGAGTATTGCTTCTTTTCATTCAGTATATTGTTTTCTTCTCATCTGAACTTTGCTCTTAAGTATTGTGAACATAAATTTGTGCTATCATTTAGTAATAAATAAAAATATCATATAAGATAAAAGCAGAAAATAAATGAAAGTGATAGCTCTTTTATAAAAACCCCTTTTATGAGGAATTCTTTGTATAGACTTCATAATCCATTTTCAATTTAACTGAATGAATATTCATATAAAATTTTAAAACATGCATAGAATTTTGATGTAGGAAACTTTGCCAAATGTTACCGAAATTGAAATATTTAATTCAATGTATTTAATTTTACTAGTAAACCTGTCAAATATTAAATTCAGTTCATTTACCATCACTGGTGAAACTCTTAAGGGTAACAGAGACCATCATTTATATTCTTAGTGTTCAAAATCCACCCTTTAATTATCTGATATAAATGTATCTGGATTAGCTCTTCTGTAACCCTTAGATGACAGTGGCTAATGATAAATAAATAAGAAAAGCAAGTAAAAGAAGTTCTTCCATACAGTGAAAAACACATAAGGACATTGAGTATTTAATATAATTTAAAAGAAGAAAAAAGCAGAAAAAGGTGCTGAATGAGTGATGATAAATATATAACTTTTCAATGTATCCAGTGTGACTTGCAAAGAACTGTAAAGCTATTTGCAAAGTCTAAGAAATGTAATCAATTTCCATTAGGAATGAGGCCACACCTCCTCTGTTATTATATCCCTAATTGTATCCCTAGTACACTACTTGGCATTGAATTGGCTTTCACTAAATATTATTGAATTATTAAGTAAATATGCTATTGGTAATGAAAAATATCTATATTGCAGAATGTTGGGAAGTTTGATCTATAATTCCAAATGGTCTGCATAGATTTCACTTTGGCAATTAAAAAAAACTGAGATGGTTTATATATGTATATACACTATATGCACTTCACATATCCTGAAAATCTAAATCAAACCTCCTTTTTTCATTGGCCAGGTCTTTTGTTAAATTATTGTTTTAAGTTTTAAGTTCAACGATATTGACCAAAGTATAGATAATACAAACACAAATTTTCAATTTCACTAATTTTTTTTTTTAAAGAGTTGATCACTCACTGATATATGGCTTTTGACCTCTAGGATACCACATTTTTGGTTTTCTCCTTTTACTGGTGGTTCCATCTTAGGCCTAGTTCATGTCTCCTTCCATAACTCTAAACATTGAATTATCCCAGTGAGTGGTCAGACTTTTATCATCTATATCTACTTACACTCCCTTGGTGATCTCACCAGTATCATGACTTAAATTTAAATTCTATCTGTATGCCTATGGGGAGCAAGATTATATCTCCAGTTCTGACCTCTCCTTTATTCCAAACTGGTTATTTCCCACAGCATACTTGATGTCTTCATTTAGATCACTCAAATTGTTTAAAAATTACTTCCTGATCTTCTCCCCCAAATTTGAAACTCCCATAGTTTTCCCTTTCAGTTAGCAGAAATTCTATTTTTCCTGCTACTTAGGCCAAAAAGCTTGGAATCACCCTTTATTCTTTTCTTCTCACACTGTTCGTCTGATCAACTGGGAAACAGTCTTGCATTTATTCTCAAAACATATTCAGAAAATTGATTGAATTTTAATAATCCAACTTTTCAACAGAACAATTACTTATAAAACCTATAGTATAAAGTGGTAAAAGGGCCAAAGAAAGTAATAAGTATATATAAACTGCAATATGTCATCATTCAAATTGAAGCATGTTTTTTGTTTTCAGGAAAGGCCTATGCTCCAGAATTCTATTATGACACCTACAATCCTGTGTGGCAGAACAGACACCGTGTTTATTCCTACAGTCTACAGTGGACACAAATGAATCCTGATGCAGTGGATCGGATCGTTGCATACCGTTTGGGTATAAGGCAGGTGAGAAATTTTATCACTCTTCTTTTTTTCTTTATAGTCCTCTGTGAAGATTTTGTTGCTACAATTTTTTAATCATTTTGCATGGATTCCAGAATATATTTATATATTTTCATTATATGTATTACTCTATACAAATTATTCTAAAGTACTTAAAAGTCTTTGAAATTAATTTACACACTTTCCACTATGACAATAGACATTTTAAAGCAACATCCTTTGAGCCTTCTGAGATCCTTCACCCTTCATCACTAAATAGCTAAAAAAATTACATTGGTACAATTGCCATAAGAGGTACTTAAGATGTGTTCACACTTACCTATACTGTACCTGTCATGTTTCCTAAGAAGCAGTTCTTACATATTTTTACTTTAAAGGTTCAAGATATAATATATATAGAATGTTTTAAAAGTTAATTTAATATGTGTGAAGAATAGAGATACTTTAGTAAAACAGGCAGAGAAAATAAAGTATGATATTTTCCTAAAATGGTGGGTTATGTGGAAAAATTTTATCTTTTTCAAATGAACCAGTGTTAAAGTCTCTTACATTTGTTGATATAAAATGATATTTTTTGAAAGGAAAATTAAGTCTGTTTCTTGTTAGCATATTATCTGGATGACTGTTTCAATATAATAAAACATTTTTGCATATTTATTTGATTACTACATAACCTATTAGTTTTCCTGACAATTTTGTATGTTCCACGGATTTGCAAAGTATGTGTTCCACTTCCTTAACTAAATCACAGAATAACATTTTAAGTTGGGACAGCAGAAAGGACAAAATTTGCTTAGAGAAAGATTGGCCAACCTCCAACAATCCATTCACCTGTTTTATCATAAAACCACTATTTTTCCATCTTACTCACAAGGTTACAATAAAAGACCTTGTAATATACATTATACATTAAGACACATTGTAAATTGAATACTCTTAGCCTACCTCTTTAAGAATTTCAGAAGAGTAAAAGAGCTTTTCCTAGTAAAAACATCTTGGCATTCGATAATTACTGCTTTCTTGCCTAAGTGCTTAAGTGTGCACTGGTCATTGATAACAGAAGACCCTGGTAGATCATTCAGAATGTTCCTTTCATAATCCCTTATTTACATTGTTCCCTAGCTAAATCTGAGTAAATCCAAATCCACATCAAAATTGTTCTACTTGTTCTAATTTGATGATTTTATTTGATAGAGAAGTTAAAAACAATAATAAAACAGATTAGCAGTTCTTTCTCTCTCAGTTGATGGACCTATCCCTTTCTTTATTATTTCCTTTTCTTAACAAAATATTAACATAGTTAATATTTTTTAAATCTTTCATATATGGAATATTTTGAAGCATTTTTGACTTTACACACCTCACACTTTTTTTTCAAGTCCTTGCCACATTGTTTGGTCATTTTTTTTTTTTTTTTTTTTTATATAATATCTGAGTAAAATATCAATTAGAATAAGTTTCATAAAAAAACACCCTAGAAGATAAAAGAACATTTATTTATAAATGTAAAAGAATATCTTAACAACTCAAAAGCCAAGAAAGAATGCTATGGCAAGTGAAGAGTTAGCTTCAGAAATTGAGCAAGGGAAAGGATTTGTTTTCTGGCACATGGATTATAATACCAGAAATACATTTTTCTCTAGTGGATAGGATGCATCTCACAAAACCCGGAAGAACAGTATTAGCAGCCAACTTACTGATCCGATCAAGAAGGCTTTAAACGAAGACTAAAGTGGAAGAGAAAAATATGAATCAATAAAATGGACTTATGGAGACAATAGTTTAAATAAAAATAACACATAGTGAAAAATGCCTAGAAATTACTTTGTGAAAATCATGGCTACAAATAATGCTTAAGGTTAGGATATGCAGTATACTAAATAAAGCTAAAATAACAAAATAGTAGAATATAAAGCTCTTGAAATATACCCTTTTAAAAAATTTTATGCAACCTGGCAGATTAATATAAAATTGCCACAACTGTTTGTACAAGGAGTGCCCTGGATAAGAGTACCTGGCCTGGAGGACAAGTGGGGATATATACACTTCATACTCCAAGTGCCTGATAGGTGTAATCTTCAATTTATAGAGTAAGAAGCCAGGCTTAGATATGTTCAGAAATGTACTCAAGGTTATGTAGTTATAAAATGATGATGCTAATTTACTAAAATTAGAAACAGACATGTCTGGAATTCATTATTTTAATAAACATAGAAAATGAAAAATATACATCATATGTACACATATATAATTTATTCTAAAGATGCAAAGTAGGAGAAATGATCTCCACTAATTTGTTCAAAAGGAGCAACACAATATGAAATGTGTGTCATTGTATATAAGGAATAATATGCCAGTTTTATGATCAAGAAATGTAAAGACTGCAATTTAGAGGAGATGTTCATGTCAGGAAAGGAAATAAAGAGAAATTATCACTGAAAAATGATATGGCAACCTAGCAAAAGATATTACAAAAGATAGTTGCTAATAATGAGTACAAGATATGGACAAGAAAAGGATTTAATTAATTGGATTGCTCTTGGGAGGAATTCTCACTCTGCTAAAATCTGTCTTCTATTTTGAGGGTGAAGGACTATAATGGTAATCACTTTTCTGTTAAATTTGACTTATAGAGAAGGATTCTGACTTGTATAAACAACAGAAACCTTGGGTAGAAAAGCATTAAGGACATAGAGTAAGGCAAGGGATGATGAACAGGGTTGGGTAAATTCCACATACTTAAAACAGGCAGTCCTTCAACTAGTAATGGGAAGTTATTCAGAGACTCTAAGAAAGTATAACTGAGGAATAAAGTGAGAAACTAAAGACAAATTATTAAGTATGATTGCAAATAAACTATAACATAAAACAAGAAAAGAACCTAAAGAAACAATTTTATTTTACAAATAGAAATTTAGTCATTGGTTTTTAAATTTTGAAAAGTATTATAATAAAAAATGACCAGCCTGGCGCGGTGGTCACGCCTGTAATCCTAGCACTCTGGAGCCTGAGGCGGGCGATTGCTCAAGGTCAGGAGTTCGAAACCAGCCTGAGCGAAGACCCCGTCTCTACCAAAATAGAAAGAAATTAATTGACACTAAAAATATATATATACAAAAATTAGCCGGGCATGGTGGTGCATGCCTGTAGTCCAGCTACTCGGGAGGCTGAGGCAGTAGGATGCTGAGCCCAGGAGTTTGAGGTTGCTGTGAGCTAGGCTGATGCCACGGCACTCACTCTAGCCTGGGCACAAAGTGAGACTCTGGCTC